GATGAGTATTTCATAGTTCATTGATCACAAAACAGTCATGTCAGGCTAATGCATTTTTTCACCTCGAGCACATCAGTTGCGCCTATAGATGGTGCAAATAATACTAGAAAGGTGAACTAATTCAACAATTTTTTTCTCATAAGCTACACATTTTACCGACCTACTTTACTTCTAATGCCATTAACTGACTGATTGCAATTTTGATATGATTCATGATATTGGAAGGAAAACCCATTTTGGCATCATTATTCTAACTTTCATGTGGTGATTTGTAGTGATATTTACCAAACAAAGATTGTTTCTAAACGTTGTACTTAATTCAGAATGTCCTTTTGACACATTTTCTGATTTAATTCTATTATACTAGTCCATGTTGTGTTTTCCATACAATTCCCACTACTTGTTCATCTACTACTTTCTGTAAAATAGTTGCTAATTGGTAACAATGTCATACTTCCTCTCACTTAGATCCTCTTTTTAAATACCAGCACCAGCAGGGAAAATACACTTACCTTCTGAAGGACCAGGTGAGCCTGGACAGCGCATTGATCATATAGACCTGGTCTTTGTTTTGATTATAATCCTTTTATCCCCCAATATCTTGAAGTCCTCCTCACCACCGTGATTAGTTTTCTTTCCTCCCTCTATCCTCTGGTCAGTGGCTCCTGTGTATCCTCACTTGTATTCAGCTTTAAAGAGAGAAAAGGATGAGAGTAAGAGAGTGGGGAAGTGATTGCTTTGGCCCATCAATAATGGGAGTGGTCTTTCGGTGTATGGCTGGACAGATGACTGCAACAAATAAGGCTGAAGCTATGGGAGTGAAGGATGAAGTGGAGAAGAGGCGTGGTTATTGAATGATGGAAAGAAAAGGACCTGCGAGTGAGAATTAGAGCGCAGTGGACTAATTATCCTCATCAATCCATCACATTGTCCTTTCTCGTTGTATGGTCCTTGGCTGTAACGGTCTCAAGGAAGAGTTGTTGACAACAAAAGGAGAGGGATGTGATTCATAAAGATTGGATGGATCAATCGTGAGATTGGAAAATTAGAGGACAAGGCAGGAAATAAGGCGTCAGGTATCAATGTCTTCTGGGAATGCTCTTGTGCTGGAGAAGTAACCCAATATGGCCGCTGATCAGAGACATGTAATCACTGTTATACTGAGACTGGAGCCACACGAGAACGGTAACGCAAACGAACCGAATTCGATATCAAAAAAGTATTCCGTCCACACGCAATAGGCACCAGAAACGTGTCCGTTCACACAAGACCGCTCGAAAGTGCTGGAGGCGCTGTAGATGCCGGGCCTGTAAGTGGTGCTATACTTCTGCCACAAAATACACCAAAAGCATCGAAGAAGACTTCATGGTTGCCCTTCTATTTATTCTCCGCGGTGGACGCTCTGGCTCTTTTTCTCCCTCCCCGAGGCAAGCGTGTGCTCCTGCTGTAAATCTCTCCGGTAGTCCACCAGCAGATGAAAAACACCCACCTCTCTGCTTCTTCCAAGGGACGAGGGGACCGTGCAGCAGAGTTTCCGTTCGCTTTTTTTTCCGCCGGTCAACATGTCCGTTAAAGTTGAAATCTTCCGGACAAAATTAGAAAAGTGCAGTCAGAAGTCTTCTTTGTTATTTATTGAGCTTTAAAACAAATTGATAGCGACTCTATATAAGAATAGAAAATGGAGCCTCCCTTTTCCTCCCCCTCTTCTGACAGCCCAGCAGCTGATCTCTGAGCAGGAGAGGCGGGGCTATTGCGTCATCGTTATCAGGAAATTATCGTATAGGGCGTAGACACAGAGCCGTTTCGTCCGCAGATCTACCCACCTTGGGACCCGTTATCGTTTTCTGCATTTCCATGTCAGCCTCTTGTGGCCAAACCGTCTATATGATAGAGAACTGTAGCGGATACGACCGTTACCGTTCTCGTGTGGCTGCAGCCTGAGCTGTCATAGGCTTAAAAAGGGTATTTTCTTGTGTTGCTTCAGTATAACGGGTTAAGAAACAATGCTGCTCACACACAGTTGGCCAAATGGATAACCTCCTTATATCCTGATTTTGTAGTTTTCCTCATGGTTACTGTCTGCTAGCCTTGTAACAAGTTTTAGGACATACTCCAAAATGGGTAGTCTTCATGGTGACAAATATACAGATGATTACGTTGGAAATGTTCATGTATTGTCTTAACTTTGTCATGTTCAGTAATGGTAATTACCTCAGGTGTGTCCTTTTAACATCATGTCACTGATTTCCGATACTATGAGTTATGTATAAGGAAATATCTAACTAGAACTGGGTGTGTGTGGTTGAGATATTAAAAAAGTGTGTTCATTTATTCCAAAGCATATTGTCTCTTTGTACTCCAAACAGTTGAGAGGATGGCTTACACCAAGTTTGCTCTTGAATATGTGTTAAGACTTTAAAGGAAAATGTAATATCCTATAACTTAAAGTGTAAAACAGTTTACGCATTGCTCTCTGTGGCAGGAGACATGGTGCACTCTGCCACACCCCAGCCAGCGAGAGCTCAGCAGGTGTTGTCCATTAGAGGTTAATGATGCAACAACCTTTTTTCTAGTGCTACTGATAAGTAGACTTAAATACAACATTCTTCAATCCATTACATCTGTATGTTTTGACCCTATTTTCACAAAAGGGACAACAAACGACAGTCGCTAAATAGTAAATGGACTGCATTTAAACATCTCTCTTATCTCTTTCTGACCACTAAAAGTGCCTTTACAAGTTAACACAAGTCAGCATTCACCCATTCACAAACATTCATACAGAGGCTACCATACCAGGTGCAATCTGCACATCCAGAGTGATAAACATTCACACACCGTTGGCCATGCCATCGCAAGGAATGTGGGGTTCAGTCTCTTGCCCAAGGACACTTGTACTTGTTGATGGCCAGAGATGGCAAAAGTAAACACCTCCTTTACTCAAGTAGAAGTACAGATACTCATGTTTAAAAATACTCTGGTAGAAGTAATAATAATGCATTACATTTTGTATTAGAGCGCTAACAGGTGCTCAAAGCGCTTTACAATTACACATTACACATATTAGACATGTAAATGTCATTACTGTGGACATTACCCACAGGAGCATTTGCGGGTTACAAGTGTCTTGCCCAAGGACACAACGGCCTGACGCAGTGGCGGCCGAGGCGGGTTTCAAACTGGAGTTCACCAACGCCCCTTGATCTGATGATCAACGCTCTAACCACACTTCTTTACTCAAGTAAAAGTAAAGAAATATAGGCTTCGAAATGTACTTAAAGTGGACCTATCATGCTATATTTGACAAATATATTGTAGGGCTATACCTATATAAAACATGTCTGGTATTTTTTTTTTAAAACTTCACAAACAGATCATGCATTTTAGCCATGCCTCATTTCGCTCTATTTGCTCTATTCCAGCCCTGTTTTTGCAAGTGCTGATTCTGTGACGTGGCTTTAATGCAAATGAGCGGAGAATAAACAGAAGGCCAACCATGGCAACCATGTGCGGGAAGTCTTCTTCGCTGCTTTTGTGGCAGACTACAGCGCCACTTACAGGCCTGGCATATGTACTACAGCGTCTCCAGCGCTTTCGATCGGCCCGTGGCCGTGGCCCAACCTCTCATTCCCCTGATAGGTGGAGAGTTGCCCATATAGGCGGAGCACCCCTTTTCTGATGTCAGAAAAATTCAAATCTGTATCAGCTCCGTTACAGCCCCATTTTTAGAGATTTGGGTATGGAGGGAAAGAGAGAGGGTTGTGTTTTCTGACACTTGGTGAGTTCCCTGACACACCGGGGACATATTCATGTATAAAAGACGTACAAAAGTGCATTTTGCATGATAGGTCCCCTTTAAGTAAAAAGTACCCATAACTAGCAGCTGTTTTAAAGAGTAACTGACTCCCTTTATATTAATAGAACAATAATGTTATTGTTAGCTAATGAATGTTCTGGTGCTGAACAACGGCAAGATGACAACGTTTTCATTGGTCGCTCTTCTTTAGAGAAGACCAGGAAATTATGGATACACGGATCATGTTCAAATCAATAGGCACACAATGACTCTAAATAATAATGATCACGCCACCAAACACAGATCAAAACTAAATGTAAGAAGTAGAAAGTACAGGCATTTGTGTTAAAAATGTAAGAAGTCAGAAGTTGTCAGAAAAATAAGTAGTGGAGTAAAGTACTGATACCAGAAGAATGTACATAAGTACAGTAACGAAATATTTGTACTCCACTACTTCCCCCCCCTCTGCTCATGGCAGACGTTTTGAATTGAACAACCCACCCACCAATTGGTGGAAGACCAGAATACCTCCTGGGCCACAGCTCCGCCACACCGTCAATGTACGTCCACTAAAAGTTTGTTTTTTTGCCACTGACAAGCTGTGATGGAGGTGATGTCGACAGGGATAACTACAAAGAAAGTAGGAATTTAAAAAATGCACGTTCAGGAAGGGGCACTAATGAAATCCACAGATTTATTGCCGAGTTTACTCTGGCATCTGTTTTTAAAGCATTTTGAACATGCATGCTGATATGCCAGAGGGTCTGAGCATGACCTCATAGCATGAGACAAGAGGTATGCACAGAGAAGTGGTAGCAACAGAAAAGCTAAATATAACCACCTGCTTGGAATTAGGTCTGCTACATTGCTGTTGTTATCTTGGGGAAAGTCTGTTTACCAGTTTTTTCCGTAGTCACCTAAATGTGCTGGCCTGCAGGCAGAGCACCGACACTTGATGAGACACCATGATGTGCAAATGCCAAATCTCTGGTCCAGGGGCCAAACTCTGGAAACAGAATCTAAATCTTTATGAGCTTGTAACCATGGGGAGTATGTTTTAATAGCTATACCGGATTTTGTCTAACTCGAAATGCGCTCTGTGTTGACTCATTCTAATAGTTTCCTAATCTTGCACTTCTCCCAGTCGCAAGTTGACCAATAAATCTAGTTGTGTAATGAGGTCATTTCTTATTTTTATCCCCAGATGCATCTGAGGCAGAGGAGGAGACGCAACAAGAGAAACAGCCAACAGAAAAAGCCCCAAAGAACACAAAGACCAAACCAGAGAAGAGGAAGAGTGTAACAGAGGGAACAGTCAAAGCCAAGAAGAAGAAAAGTAATGAACAGGTACCATCATGTTTTTGCTATTCCTGTGTGAGCTGCCAATAAGAAGAGTCTTTCACCTTATTGGAAAATGTTCTTCCAACCCATTATTCTAAATCACATGTGTCAAACTCAAGGCCCGGGGGCCAAATCAGGCCCTTGGTGGATTTAATTTTGGCCCGCAGGATAATATTTCATTACTATTAGATCCAGCCCTTCACTCAATCCTGAGGATTTCCCAAACATTGATGAACTTGCACCCAAGATGAGATGCCAAGTATCTGGCTTGAACTAGCACCACAGAGCATCAAACTGAGTTTAATGGATGTTTCCTTCTGCACTTTTTCTCTCACGACAACAGGGCATGTTTGGTTTTTTCTTTGAGGGAAATAGTTTTGTGTACATGTAATCATAAGAAATGACGGCAGATAGAGCCATGAGAAATGAATGCAACTGATTATTTAATGTTTAATGTTGTTTTTATAGGCAATAATTTAAGCTTTGTTAGTTCCAGGTTTAATATGTGCAATAAGTTCATTTCAATAAGTTTTGCAATAAACATTGAACCAGTCCGGCCCTCGACTAGTACCCATTTTTTTATTTTGGCCCACTGTGTATTTGAGTTTGACACCCCTGTTCTAAATGATCAGGATGTTTTTTTCTGAGCGATTGAATATATATATTTATATTAAAATGTATAACATTAATAGCAACAGATCTGCCTGTTATGCCTCACCCTGTGTTTCCAGAAAATTAGAAACATTAAATATACCAGCCTATTAAATGAGAAAGTAATGATGACATTAACTGATAGCAGAAATAGTAATTCAGTGACGTTGGCTTATTATATTCAGGGGTGCACATAACTTTTTGAGTGAGTTACTCAGATGAGTACCAGGAGCCAGTGTTTGGTACTCACCCCACACGAAGCGTGGTCCTCTATTTACACTTCTTGCATGCTAGATGATGAAGATGCACCTCCCTGTCTCTTTTTAAGCCTCCGATTTGCTTTCTCCAAAACTTGTTGCCAAAACTGTGAAGTCCTTGCATTTCATGAGGCCAAGTTGAAGGATCAAATACTAAGAAATGATCACATGAGTTGAATTCATATCTGATTTCAGATGTGGGAAGTTACTAAGTACACTTATTCAAGTACTCTACTTAAGATATTTGTACTTTACTTGACTTTGATCTAATTTGTAAAACTAGCTGCACCTTTACCAGCTTTGAGAACACGTTAATGATCAATCATTACAAAACATATCATAAATATTATTCTGAAATGGACCAATCTGCACAACGACTACTTTTACTTTAACTATATTTTGATGATAATACTTTTCTAATTTTACTTGAGTAACATTTTGAATGCAGGACTTTTACTGTAACAGAGTAACACTCTGGTACTTCTACTTTTACTCAAGTACAAGATCTGAGTACTTCTTCCACCTCTGTCTGATTTCAAACTCTTCCATAACACCTGAGTAAGTTTGCAACTGTGTGTTTTACTCTTCTTTACTCTACACTTTGGTGTAAATCAAACTGCAGCAGCTTGACCACAGAGCGTGCACGTTGTGATCAGCTGATTTTGCGCAGTTCTCCAGAGTGTGCGCGGGGCACAGAGTGTGCACAGGGGAGTCTCCCACTGCAGCCAGTTGGCGGAGTTTTGGCACAATTCTGTTGTTCATACCGACGTTATGTCTGTGCACACGGTGACCAACTCTCGTCCGGTGATCTAAGCCTCTGCCTCCTGTAAAGCTTCACAGGTCCGTCGGTTATGTCCTGCGCGGCTCGGCCAGCTCCAGTTCAACCAGTCATAGAAAGTCCGAAGAGTTTTTGCAGGGAGTGAAACGGCAACGTAGCTGCTTAATGTCTTTGTGTTTTTTGACATGTCTCGTAGTTTACTCCATTGACTGTTGACAAGAAACACGTGTAGACGAAATATGTGTTTTGTTTAGATGTTTTGAGTTACGCAAAGACGCATAGTGACACAAGTGACGTTACGCAATTCAGATTTTTGCCGCGCATGCGTACCTGCGTACCAGTTATGTGCACCCCTGATTATAGATATGATTTTGCGTTTATACCTTGGTAACATAAAACACAAACTATTTAACAGATGATTTAGTTTAATGCTAAACGAACTTTTTTCCCCACTGAGGATTAATCATTACTTTATAACTTATTTTAAAAGCATCCAAAACTCTGGTTAATATGTATTGTCTGTATGTATTGCTTTTACAGAAAGTGTCTAATATTCCTCCAAAGACGGAGACCGACGATGATAAGACGACAAAACCCAAAAGAAAGAGGAAGGTGAGTGTGGGGACACCTGCTGCTGCACGGAGGGACACCACTGGGCTTTAAGTGTGAACATTACTGTACATCACTTTATTTTGTTTTCCAGAAAAAGACGATTACAGACGTCTTGGCCTCTTCGGAGCCAAAACCCGGCTGTCCGGCCGACCTGCAGAGCATGGTCACGCTTTACTTCTCCGACAAGCGTTCTGTGATCGAGCAGGAGGAGCTCGTACTGCAGGGTGAGTCGGATCAAGTCCTCTCTAACTCTATAGTTCAGTGAATATCTGCAGAAACATTGATTCACTAAGGTCACTGTATCCTGAATCCTCCAGACTCCAGCTTCCTGTCCTGTAACGACCTGACGCACACACTGTCCTCTTTTCTGAAACAGGGTAAGTGGTGGCTAAACTGAATTCTTCTAGTAGCTGTTGACTTTCGAACACACATCTGACTTTTATCTCATCCCCTTCATTTTGTAAGTTTGTCCCAAGTGGTCGAAGATTCAAAAGCAGCACAAAGAAAAGAGTTCAGTGGTTCTGCTCATCGTCTGTAGTTCGGCTCTCCGTGCCATCGAGCTCCTTAAGTAAGTGAAGCATCTGATGAGTTTGTAACATATCTCACATGACAACTTTTTCATTATATTTACGTGATTATTTTTGTGTTTTTTCCAGGCAGATGACAGCCTTCAAAGGTGAAGCCAAAGCAGTAAAACTTTTTGCGAAACATATCAAGGTATTCATTTTGATGCATGTTTTTGTAAACAGTGGTACGTTTTACCCGAACAATATTCTCTTAATGTCTGTGTTTTGTCTGTGCAGATAGAGGAGCAGGTGAAGCTGCTGCAAAAGGGCGTCACACACGTGGGAGTGGGGACACCTGGCAGGATCAGCGCTCTCATTGAGAAAGGTAGGTGTGAATATGTCTTGATTTAAAAAATAAGTCCTCAAGGTTGTTGAAGGTTATTTATGGCAACTCTTGTATTTGTTCCAGATGGTTTGAGCTTGAAGGCGTTGAAGTACGTGGTTCTGGACTGGAACTGGAGGGACCAGAAGCTCAGGAGGATGATGGATGTACCTGAGGTGAGCTACTGCCCCCTGCTGGGCTAAAAGATCATTAGTTTCTTATGTATGTGTACTTACGTAAGGTGTTAAATGCAGTACTTGGTAGGATCTGAGTAGTTCTTCCATCACTGAGTTTAATTTGATTGCAACATGCACTGTGAGAACAGTCTCTTTAGTCATGTAGACCAGGTGACTTGCAAAACTAACATGATTGAACATCATTTAGCTAATCATATATTCTTGAACTTTCACTACAAAGAAGCTATTTTTATTTTGTCATTTTTTTTATTAGGAATAAAACATAAATATGTCCTAACATACAGTATGTTGGGGATGTCTTTCATCTTGTCTATACCTTTTGTTTTAACATCATACGTACATGTCTATTTCAGGTCAAACTGGACTTTATGAAGCTGCTGGAGAGCGGTATCCTGAATGGATGTAAAGAAGGCAAAGTCAAAATTGGACTATTTTAACTGCCCGTACACTTCGCTGTGCGCTGAGATTCCAGAGACACTTTCATGTTTTAAAGCCCCACACTGAAGTCTGATCACTATGTGCCGAGGGGCCTCATCCTGTTTGTATTCCCTTTGTGTCTCTGTGAAATCTGCGCTGTGCCTTTTTATATTTCCAGAGGCCGTTTTCAAATGTGTGCTGTTGTTTGTTCACTGTTGTTGTCCAACACGACATCCCAGTGTGATGGATTGAATAAACGAACTGAGAATGAAACCAGCATCCTTTTGTTTGTTTAGTCTGACCTTGGGAAGTCCCTCCTACTGAGAATGTGAGGTCATGAGTTAACTTGCTCACTAGGATGTCCCATTTACCATAACATCCTTTGATAAAGCGTTTTAAAGCAGCACAAAGGGAGGTCCAGAACCAACACCAGCATATTAGATCAAATACACATCTGAGTCACTTGTATGTGAATAAACAGGAACCTGTTGTTTCTACAGTAGGAAGCACAAAAAACAGAAAAACAGGAAGAGGCGGTTAGATTGTGGTTAATAAGTTACAGGCCACAACGGTCTCCCCCGCCCCGGCAAAGCCTGCTGGGTAAATCTTTTGGCAAGCAGAGTGTAGTGTGTGCAGAGAGATATCGCTGAAGAAAAGAACAGGAAGAGAGGACAGCAGCGCCTTCTCTGACTAACTTTTTGGATCTCCAACTGTCTCTGCTTCCTCTTCTGTCCGCATCCAAAGGTCCCTCTCATGGGCAAAGTGAAGCCTGGGCCTCTGGCTCGGAGGCCCGACAACTCTGCGTTCAAACAGCAGAGGTTACCTGCCTGGTCTCCCATGCTAACGGCTAACTCTGTGCTGCCTTTCTTCTACTTTATGGCTTTGATATGCATGCTGCTAGGAGTATGGCTGCTTCTCACAGTACAGAGCACAGAGGAACTAAAGGTGAGTGTGGGTGTTTTCTGCAAATGTCACTTGCCTATTTAGTAGTTGTACATATGAGGAAATATGAAATAAGAAGAAATACTTGTAGAACAATGCAAATAGCATATGTGTGTTGGAGGGAATTAGAGGAAGAGACCCAATGCCCTTGTGCAATAAAAAAGGGAGTGACACAGATAGGAAAGGTCCAAGGTTAGGTTTTGAGTCGTGTAAACAGGAACCGTTTATTCACTATTCATTTGAACAATTATCTCTCCTGTCTTTCCAGCTGGACTACACAGAGGCTGGCACGTGTAATTTATGTTTTGAAAAGCGTAAAATGTGAGCAACGCAGCCCAACCCTGCATCTGCACCGCTGTGTTTAACATCAAGAAAGCATTCAAGGTAACAACCACGAAGTTTGACAACATAGATTTCACACTCTATACCCAACATGCTCCAGTTCCAGGGCTTTGATTTCTTGTCCATGCTGTAAATCTTAAAGTCAGTCAATGACAGAATTCAGCCTTACAAGTAAACATAAGCTGATGATGTGAATCCTGCTGCTCCAGGGAGACGTCTTTTTCTACTACGGCCTCATAAACTTCCATCAGAACCTCCGCAGATACATGGACTCCAGAGATGATGCTCAGATGGTTGGCAGGAAGAACAATTTAAAGGTAGCTCCACAATAGTTTTATATCAAAATAACATTGTTTGTTTATTAGTTTGTTGACCTTTTGGTACATTTGTGGACACGGTTTTAGATCATTTACTAAGCAATATTAAGAGTGTTTTTTGTGTATGTTTATTTGTTTATTAGTATTTATGCAGCAGAATGCCCCCTCAGTTTTCAATTATTATGGTTGAATTATGACTTAAGTGCTGTGTAAGTAGCATTATCGTGGAGGAGTTGGCGGACATTTTACCAACTTTCTACACTGTTAGCTAATATAATAAAACATCTTCTTTTGTAAACAAATAACATGTAAAACATAATCCTGCAAAGTAATCAGTAATACCAGCTGTAGTATAAATATAGTAGAATAAATAGTTATGGAATATAACATTATCTAAAATAATATGCACGTTTAAAAGAAATACCCAAGTTAACTTAAAATTGTAAAACTGAAACACGTAATTTGATTAAATGTACACCTAAGCTTGATGCTAATTTTAGTAACCTTTTTATCCTAACTACTAGAGCCCGAGTTCATACTGCATGCCGTTTGACAAAGACAAAAATGGAGTCCCCATCGCCCCCTGTGGTGCTGTGGCCAACAGTATCTTCAATGGTAAGCACCACTCCTACCTAAACCATCAATCATCGCATCCATCCTCCACTCTCTAACCTCTCCTCTGTCCTCCCAGACTCCTTCACTCTGAGCTACATGACCTCCAGCGGATCAGTGCGTGTCCCTCTGTTACGCAAAGGCATCTCCTGGTACACGGACAAAAATATCAAATACCGCAACCCATCGACTGAAAACATGACACTGCCTCAAGTGTTTGAAGGTAAATGAAAGATGTAACCTTGGGTCACAGAATTTGTATCAAATCATCGTGTCTGATTAGTGATTACTACGCAGGTACAGCACCGCCTCTGTACTGGCAGAAGCCCGTGTATGATCTGGATCCCCTCGACAAGAACAACAACGGCTTCATCAACGATGACCTGATCGTGTGGATGAGAGAGGCAGCCTTCCCCAACTTCAAGAAGCTCTACGGGGTTTTACACCGAGCCAACAAGCCTTTTATGAACGGTCTGCCTGCAGGGAATTACAGCGTCGAAATATCTTACAGTATCCTTTCACTGCAATCATAAATGTGTTTGTATGCGAGGTTTAAATGTCCTATTGTGTGCATTGTTTCCTTTGTCTTATCTGCAGTTAAACAAGCACATAGACAAGGACTATTTTAGAACTATAGCCTAGCTTTTTCCATTGAGCTTCTCTTTGTGATCACCTATTTGCAGCCTTGACCTCTGGCTTTCCAGACTTCCCTGTGCAGTACTTCCGAGGCAGAAAGGAAGTAGTGTTGACCACGCTGACCTGGTTTGGAGGTCAGAACCACTTCCTGCCCATTGCTTACCTCGTCACCAGCTGCCTGATCCTTCTGATAGCCATCCTCCTCACGGTGTTCTGGTTTAAGTTTGGGAAGAATGGGCAAAACATGGAGGAATGAAGGAAGAAGACGTGCTCTGGGATACTGAGGTGTGAAAAACGTTCCAGCAGCTTGAGCCATAATTGTCGTGCTGCTTTGTGAATGAAAGAACATTGATGCAAGCAAATGAAGGTTAAGGGGAAAGGTTAAAAGGTACATATGTTGAAAAACCAACGAATAATCAAGTTCGGCATCTGGGAAATGACTTCCCCCTTCATCTAACGGCCTGCATGTGTTTGGCTTTTATTGTGAAGTTGCTTTGAAGAGCCAACTGAAAGCTAGGTGTGTTAGCACAGGCGTTAAGCTTTCTTTACTTGTGGATTTTACTTGTATTTCTTTAATACACACCATTTTGTTCATGCACTGTTGATATTTATTAACATAATTATCTATTTCTTATACATTTATCAAGAATGATCAGTCACTGTGCAAAGTGGAAAACACTAAAAGGTACAATTAGCAGAACACCAATTGGAAAACAAAGCCTGTACATGTAATTCTTAGAGGGGGACATTTTATGCAAATGTTTTAAGTTCATACTTTTAATTTAAGTTTATTTTGAACATGTTTAAACGTTCAATAAACAGGAAGACAGCCAAGCAACCCTTCCCAACGCTCTCCAGATATGTTGGGTTAGAATGGGAATGTCTGGTTTTCTTCTATTTATATGGGAAGCTCTTAAGTCATCTATGGATACTCCATAATGGATTTGGGTCAGTATATTCTATTGAGAATTCCATGACATAGGATCTATAGGGCCTGCTGATTTTCATTGACCTAGGCAGCCGTAAAAAAAAACCAATGGGCTGTATTATTTCATTTTGTGGGTTGGTGGGCACTCCAGACATCCCAATGTTTTAGCATAAGCACTGAAAAGGATTTTTTTTTTTTATATGTCCCCTTTTAAGCTAAGGAGTCATGTTGAGAATATCTGTCTAATCACAGCAGGGTTAGCAAGTGCTTAAACCATGGCCTTTTTACAATGTATAATAATGTAAAAGTGTATGCTATGCTAGCCGATCTGTGAGGCTGAGCAGTGCTTTGAGCTGGATGAGATTTGAGGTGTGTTTACGACTTGCTGACATGAACCATTTGAACTGTCTGTTATGCATATATTTCCTGTTGTAGACAAAAGCTAATAGCAAAACATGTTCTTTAAAAACTCTTTATTTCTCTATATACAATCAGTGAGAGCCACAAACACATCCCTCTGTGACCAGGGAGCACCAGAACAATGTATGTAGATCGCCTCGGTTATTGAGCATAATCAAAGCAGGATTGGTGGCACAGCTGTGAGAATAACTTCTTCGGTGAGGTTGTTATTCTGTAAAGATATAAAGCAGCGTGTTCCATCTGCCCTCCTGCCACAGAGCGTTTGGTCACATTAGTACCAGAGGAGAGGAATGCAGTCTAACTGGTGCTACAGACAATGACTGAACACAAACAATGATACAACTATGAGCCGCATCGATAAACAGTCCAAAAAAGAAAAACACACAGGACTGAAATATCGAAACAGCTCAACACACATACAGATGTTGATGCACATAGATAGGAACACTCAAATGCATTAAGGCAAGATCAAACACCCATTTCAACACGAGACAATCACCACGATGCACAAATAAAATCTAAAAAGTTCAAGACAAACATACAAGAAACGATCAGCTGTAACAGATTAACCCATCTACCTATTTGCTCTGTACCATTCACTAGGACATCAACTAACTAGGCCTTTAAAAATGTTATTTTCTACATTAAGACTGCTTTCATAGTTATTTGGCTAAATGTGCGCTGAATTGTGAAAGGTGGTTCTGTTATGAATTGCATAAACACAGAAAAAGGCAACATTTGGTCTTCAATATCACAAAGTATCTCCTTTTTGTGAAAATCACTGGATTGATCAGCCTTTTCAAGTTAACATCTGACAAGGTTCATTCAAAATAAAAACGTACGGTGTCCACAACAGTGCAACCATTATTCTTTGATGTAATCAGTGAGGGAAGTGGTGGGCAATTTTTAATAAGAGTTTCTCCTCATCAGCAGGATGTAAAATAAAAATAAATATCAGTAAATCAATCAAAAGGTTTGCAGTAATGGGATTACTAGAACTATACACAATTTCAAGTCATGCTTTTTAAAACAAAGTAAGACAAAAACGTACCGTGGAAAACTAGAGCTTCTCTAGAAAAGGAGGAATTAATTGACCGTGGATGTGGAGTAACTGAATGCAACATGCAGGTAATTCAGTAAGAGAACACTTTGGGTTTGATGAATGTAAATCATCGGGTACATGTCGGTATGTAACAGAAAAATAATGGAAATCACAGTTTCACAGAATGCAGGAACTACTAAGGATCACAGAACAGGGAGTCTTTATCAAATAGTAGTCAGCTTCCTCCTCTTCATCCATCCCTCCACCTTGCACACACACATTCATCTTTGTGGTTTCAGTGATAGGACTGTAATGGCACTACACAAGCAGATTGTGACCATGCAGAAACATTTAGGCAATACAGACATCTCCAGATGAATCTAAAGCTAAGGTAGTGTTCATTCAAGACTGGAGCCGGGCTCCGGGGCTCACAGATTCACTCCTCCTCCGTCACAACCCTCCGCTGGGTTGTGTCGGGGCAGATTAAGGCCATGTGCATCCGGACTCTTCAGCTCTTTCCTTTGGGCTTCTGAGTGTTCCTCTGAGGCACCTGATAGGTCTGATCCTCAGGGGGCGTGGCCTGTCCAGTGGCGTTCTTTGGCGTATCGTAGGCCGTCCTCCCTGAGCGGCCGCTGTCTGTCCGAGTGAGCAGGGAGGGGGGCCCGGCACCCATGAAGCTACACACCGTGGAGGGCTGGTTCAGAGTGGAGCCCCCTGATGATGGGTGGCAGCCCATATCCACCACGATGGGCGTGGCGTATTCTGATCCCGTGGCTGGTAAGGGTTCTGCGTAGGCGTGATACACGTCCTGCGAGATGGGAGCGTCGTACAGGTCGGGGTCCGTGTATCCCGGGTCGGGGCCCTCGTCTGGTTTGAAGGTGGACCGGGCCCCTAATGTTGTGACGCCACTCACCAGGGGCTCAGCGTAATCTGAAAAGAGAGCATTTCATAAAGTATTAATTAAGTTTATACTTTTATCATTATTGTCATGTGTTACCCTAATTATATAACAGTGTATAGGTTACTTAACCGTCAGTAATGTACATAACAATTCCAAATAAGACCCCAAAAACACAATTTGATCATTAAAAAGGCTCCTTAAAGGCCTAGATGTTTGCCATTATAGCGCCGGAATGCAATGTTTTGATGAGCGGGTCCCTGTCTGTGTCACAGATGCTATCCTGTATACATGCTCAGGTTTTTATTCATTAAACTTTAAAAAGGCCTGTGTTTATTTATGCCAAAGATAGCTTTTTTTGGATAGAAATCTGACCCTTTCTGTAAACATCTGATCAGTAAATAGTTATGCCTGCATGTCTAGTGGAGATTAAGCAGCATAATGGAGAAGAGTTTTCATTACGGTGTGCTGCCATAACATTGATGTGGAAATATACAATTTTGAAATTACAAAGGCAGTAAGTGCCGTCAACATTAACATCAACTCAAACACTAGCAAAATAATGAAACAGTTGTATGTCATTCCTTGTTTTCACGCAACTCTGTATACAGCCGTTTGTGAATGTAATGACCTATTGAAGAAAGAATTGCTGCAATAAAGGATGAGAAGAACAAGAAGACCACAAGCTGGGGCGGAAAAAAAAGCTGATTTCACAACATTCAAAACAAAGGTTTTGCAATAAACTGAAGACACTCAGCAGTGCTTCTCCCCTGGGTGCCAGCTGGTGCCGGGTAAATCAAAGTTCAGCGCACACCAGCATACAAACTATTATATTAACAGATTTATTAAAAAACAAGAAGGAGCAAACTACACTTGTTCTTAGGAACTTTGATTTCTTGTGGTTTGAAATTGTTTTTCTTTGAGAATAAACTGAACTTGGATGAAGCTGTTTTTTGAAAACTGAAACTCCACAGGGTGCTTTTTAAAAGCAGCTGAAACCTCAACAAATCTCAAGGAACACAACCTGTCTGAATGCAGCAACCCAGTAAGGACTCTTGGTTGCTTGAACAGCCACCACAGTATTTACCTGCAGGTTCAGCATGTAGTCTGGGTACAGCCCCTCTCCCCAGCCGGCCCACCTCACTGTACCGAACTGAATCCTCTGTCTCCACCATCTTGGAGGGCAACAGCTGCTTCATGCTTTTCCACCAGTCTGCAGCAGAGACACAGTGAGCTACAGCAGAACACTCTCACCGAACACATGAAGACATTCAGGCTGTGCTGCAGACATTACATACCTGTGCGGTCCCAGTGAGGGAGATCATATGTTCCGTCTGAGCTCTTTTTCCTATGAAGAGAGAAAAATCAAGTCAGACTATATAACATGTTCATTTCCGTGCTGTCTTTCTTCGTGAAATGTTGCATTCTGTGTAATAGTCCTCATGACAAAAATGGTTTCATACATACTAGAAAGTAACATCATAAATAATCCCTTTGCAGCTGTATTAGCTTGAAAAATCAATATTACCAGTAGTAATACAAAATATGAATTGATCAGATTTGGATCGGTGGTAAAGAAATTAGTTTGGGACATCCCTCATAAAACAAAATAATAATTTGAATTGGTACAAAAATCCTAAAATGAACCTGGGTTTAGTGTTAAAGGACTCCTATCATGCAAAATGCACTTTTTGATGTCTTTTATACATACATGTGTGTCCCCGGTGTGGCAGCAGACTCACGAAGTGTCCGGAAAAAACAACCCTCTCTATTTTCTTCCTTACCCACATCTTTATTTTGAATTTTTTTTTTTCTTTCTCTACAGACCCGGAATCAGCGTTTCTCTAACAGGGCTGAAATAGAGGGGTATGAGGCATGGCTAGAATCTGTTTGGTATTTTGAGCAAAACACTTCATAGATATGTCTTTCATATAAGACATGTCCTATAAGATATGCTGAAAAATAGTATAATAGGAGGAAACTTGCATTATATGTTTTTGACACCATATTCCACCAATGCACTTTGAGCGCTTCACAAGACATTAGTTTTTTTTGTTTTTGTTTACATGACAATGAGAATACACACCTGCTCCTGCAGTGCCACGCACACACCACAGTCAGGATGAGCGCGGTCAGAACCATGAACAACACGGGCACCAGAACCGCTGCCAGCGCCACATCTGAGGGGAAAAAAGGCCGTAATAAGCGTCCGGCGGCAAATTTAGGATGAAAACAAATGAGTTTTCAAACTGAAATGTAGCGCACCTTTACCAGTGTGAGGAGGCATCGTGGTGTTCCTGATGTCGGGGGGGTGAGTGGTTTGTCCAAAGTGAGGTGGACGTTTTGTACCCATAGAAGGTGGAGTATGACGATAGGGGTCAAACACCCTTGGTACTGGCTTCGCTGTGAGACACATTTGTAAATCATATTATAGAACAAAAACATGTATAACTTACAATAACATGCAAATTCATTATTTGCAAATCCACAATTTTACCAACCAAGAATTTGGCAGCCAACCAGCTCCAACTTGAGTGCTATTCTCTGATGCCATAGGGTCGGGTGTATCCTCACAAACCGCGCCTCGATTGGAGGAAGGAAGTTATTCCTCACCTCATGCAGGTAGTTGATGTTGCCTTGGAAAATCTACCAGAAAAAGAGAGCATACTCTTATTAATGCTAGACATGTAAACCCAACTAAAGCCCAGTAGTAGTTAAGAGGGGAAAAAGTCCTTGTTTCAGACTGTGTGAACAACTGCACTGTAAGCCATGAGCTGATTATTTTCCAACTTGGCAAGCTAATAACTGCTTCCCCCACACAATAAGAGCCTGGGAATCCCAGCAGAGAGCAGCTCCATCCCGACAACCCGCCACTAAATCCATATCCATTCATTATTAATGCCCGAGTGTCCCGACTTGTCTACCACAGCACTTAACTCAAACCACTGACGGCTATCATTTCCTGCCATAAACATCTCGTAGTCAATACCAGTTGCTATGGAAACAGTCCAAGTATGTGCCCCTGCAGCTTTCTAGAGTGACATTTTTATCCATTTGCACTCATTTGAAGTTAAGAAAAAAAAAACTAAAAGCCCATGATGCAATTGTTCAGCAAATAGGGTTTATTGATTTGGTGATTGCATTACCTTGTCTTGTGTTGAATTTGCTTCCCTGTAGCTGAGCCACTGCTGGCCATCGTTACTGTGCTGCACCCGGTACGCTGAGACGTAGTATCGATACTCTCTGAGGGTGGAGCCGGTGGTGGTGATACCTGGGTGAAAGGGCAGAATAGAAACAGGAAGATGATGTAAAGTTGGCTACGACATGAAATAAAAACGACTAAAAGAGTCTAAAGCAGCTCTGTGAGGCTGTTATTCATCACAGTGCTGAATGCTAATGCCTGCTTGCTGATGGAACATGTTTGTTTAGCCGGTTAACATGATCATCATTACTTAACACAAAACTGAGGATGGTGGGAATATCCGTTTAGTAAAACCAAAGTATTGGACACAATATTTTTTGACCACAAAATGATGATAGGAAGTCAGTGGATTACTTTTCCTTTTGAAATAAACATGATTGGACCAAAATGAATGGCAGTTTATCCAGTAGAAATGTAGATGTAAAAGAAATACCAAATGAGGTCCTGGTTGTGCCAGACATAAGGATTCTTCCTCTGGGCCGCATGTGTATCTTTACAATATTTCATGACCATCTAGTACTCAGCAGTATATTGATATAATATCTATATTGTGACAGGATTGTCTTAAATGTTGGATATTGTAATAAGGAATATTTGTGGTTATTTCTTGGTTTGCAAACTGTAAAGTGACTTTCTGCTTATCGCCCAGCTATATGAGAATCCATCCAATATTCATGGTGATATTTAAGTCTAGACCAAAGTGGTGTAACAACCTACAAACCAACATGTAAAAAGTAACATGTAACCCTAGAGCCAAACTGCTAACAAGGCTGAACAAGACCACAGGTGTGTAAGCTAAGAGCCTTATTTTAGAAAATGATCGTTGTGTACCTGTGATCCTCTTCTCTCTCTTGAGGTCGACCTGCAGCCACTGCTTTAGATCACTCTGAGCAGATGCCCAGGGAAGCCCCGCCTTTTTAAGCCGCGCCCCCGATGGTGCCCACACACTCTGCTGACCGACGCTCCACTCCCACACAGACGAGGCGGACAGCTGAGTGTCCGCAACGCCACCAGACTCCAAACCGAGCGTCCCAGAGCAGCCTGCAAGCACAGAGAGGCCCATTTAATATAAATATTTAACATGTTTATTATATGCCATCCCTGTGACCTATTAGAAATGTGGCATCAGATCAAAGTTAGAGAATGTATAAAAACAGCAAAGTAATGCACTTCAGACTAATACAAATAAGGGACTCTAGGGCAAGATTTACACTCAATTAAAATAACAGATGTTGACGCTAATAATTACATCAACAGGGGAAAACAACTACAGCTGCTTATGGTGCTCCAGAACCAGAAAAAACTCACCGTTGGTCCTGAAGGTGAAGAGGCTGTCGGACAAAGTTCCTCTGAAGAGAGAAGTATAGCATCAGAAGACATAGATTAGTGTTTTTTTAACCAATAAATACTTAGAAATGCAGCGATTCTTTAAGTTAGCAATTCAACCATGAGTACACTTTTGATCTTATTTCAAACATTCATTACATGTTTGGTTTGTAATAATATAATGTAAATGTATCTGTGATTCACAACTATCTCTCTCTTACCCAGTGGAAGAGACGTTGTTAGCCAGTGTGGCCTCGTAGTGAGGGATGCCTTTGCTGCTCACCACGCTGATCCGCCCCCCCACAGCGTTGGACACCACGCCTGCATGGACGGCTGCCACACACACAGGAGAGGACTGCAGAGGAGAGAGGAGGGGGGATTAAGGGAGGCCGGTGGTGCTGTTTTATATTTCCATTACAACAAACTGCCACGACATCCGATGAACGTTGGGTAAATTTAATACATGTTAACGGTTCACAAAATTACAAAACACGCTTAGACATCCTAAACCTCCTTATATGAATACCAGTGCTTAATGTTGCAGACTGAGTGAATGCTGAATTCCCCAGTATTAAAGCATGTGTGTGTCAGACCATTGTGGGTCGATTTTTAAATCTATCAAGACTTCTTAATGTTCATGCTCTGTTTTACACCATCTTTAAAGGGGACCTATCATGCAAAATGCACCTTTGTACGTCTTTTATACATGAATATGTGTCCCCGGTGTGTCAGGGAACTCACCAAGTGTCAGAAAACACAACCCTCTCTCTTTTCCTCCATACGCAAATCTCTAAAAACGGGGCTTTAACGGATCTGATACAGACTGATACAGATTTTAAAATAGTCTGACGTCAGTGACGAGGAGCTCCGCCTATATGGCCAACTCTCCACCAATCAGGGGAATGAGAGGTTGCCGTGGCATGGTAACAGCATGGTAACATGACGCTAGTAACTCGGCCCCCTCCTTTGCAGGGGGGCGTGGTCAGCTGCAGCGCATGCAAAGACAGGGGTGGAGGAGAGCGAAATGAGGCATGGCTAAAATGCATGATCTGTTTGGTATTTTGAAAAAGAAAATGTATAAATATACCTTATATAGGTATGGCCCTACAATATATTATTCAAATATAGCATGATAGGTCTCCTTTAATAGTTACAGTCAATGAGCTGAATTTGATATGACAAGCTAGACCTGATCTGAGCTAGACCAATTTATCTGACGGTCAGCCGGTATCAGCTTATTGCAGATTTATGGTAATGTGAATATGTTTACTAATACAAATTAGGTGCAAGGTAATTAAGAAACAGTACCTAACACATAGTTGGTTCTGATGGCCCAACTGTAAAAGGTCCCAATATGTTATTTGGTCTCAATAGTATTGGTTAAACACAATTAAGAGTTTGATTTCTGCAATATCTACTAATATCACCTATATAATTAATAATAGAGCATAATCCACAATCACCCAGGACTAACTCTTCGAAGAGTAAAAACTCACATAAAGATATTTTAAGCAACAAATCAATACCGAAGATGAGTATCTCTGGTGGAAAGGCAGTTAGTTATAATAAAGCATTTGCAGGAACAGGCAGTACTGTCTTACAGTGAGCTCACAAAGAAGAACCTCTTAACCTTCAGACTGTGGCGGATAAAAGGCTGATGAGTCAGCATGATGTCACTCTTCTGTAGAGAGGATACTGAGGGTTACTGACTGTAATGATTCACTGCCGGCTGCATTCCTGTCCAAACCTGCTGCCACATCACGGAGAAGCAGACAAAAAAAAAAACACAATCCTACTCCGGTCACGAGCTCCTTCCCGTGAACAGCTGTTTGAGTGAGGTGGGATTTCATTCCTGGAAAAGACCCGCACTGGAATCCACAGCTGACAAGATTGTGGGAAAACACTGGTGACCCACAGAGTGGCAAGCACATGTATTCACACAAAGACAAAGACACACACACACACACACACGTATGTATGCACGGCAGTTAAATGCTGCCACTAGCAATCAACACTTGCCCTGTGACTCCTAAACTTCCCAAAAACACACACCACATCCTAAAGAGCGCCATACCAAACCGCTAACACAAAGCGTTGCTCCAAACCGCTCCCTGCCTCCAACTGAGGAGACCACACTCGCACACATAAAACAACACGCACACACACACATACATATAGATATGTGATATGCTGGATGTGGAAATAAAGAACACACACACTGTTAGAAACTCCAGATTTAAAAAAAGAAAAAGTAGTTGCAGGGTCTGTTTTAAGGTGGGGGAGACTCAAAGAATGCCTGAACAATAACCAGAATATTACAAATTGGTGACACACACACCCCGCGAACACAGGCAGGAATGATTCATTTGCACATATACAAAACCTTCGGCATGCTCTCCAGCCTCTTCCTCACACTGACTCACTCGCAGCTTATTGTCTCACACACTCCACACACAGCTCCGCTCAGCGCCCTCTTGCAGCTGGACTGGATTAGAGGCTTATTATTTTCGGCCAAACTATTATCTCACCTCCCTCTCACCCGCTGACCCGGCCCCTCCTCTGTTCCTGTGGGGCACCTCACTCCCTGAACCCCCCGACGCTCCTCCCTGTCCTCCCATCAGCCAGCAGCAACACACCCCTCCCTCCCTCCATATATATAAAAAAAACCCAAGCTCTGAACATGAAGTCATCAGCCAGAGACTCGGGGCCCATGACCTCAGGCTCTGCGGGGGGGATGTGAGGTCATCAGTCCATGACTCACACACCATGAAGCTTAGGCCCGTTTACAGATGGACGAAAAACGACGAAAAGATGTGAGATGAAGAGAAAAGGAGGAAAATAATGATAATGATCGCATGAGTAAGAAAATGCTGACGGATTGACCAAACAGCGGGGCGACATGTTTCACCTGGAATTGTGACGCTAGGCCACCACAAAGAGAAAACACACACACACACACACTGTATGTGCTCACCTCTCTGTAGCCATTGGGTACAGTTCCTGAAATCTCCTCGGTAGATGTCAAGCAGCCTGCAGGACAGTATTTACTATGCAGAAAGAGAGACATGCACAATGAATACATATCACACAGCTTGATCACATAAATATCCATTCCACACAAAGCAAAATGTTATTTACCTAAACTCTGCCTCTGGGAAATCAGCCCCTTTGTCCAGGCAGGTGATTAGATCTGCAAAAGGCAAACAAACAGTGTCAGAACCGGTTCCTCTGCACGCTGCACAAACCCATCACTCCCAATATCTCTCTGGCAACAGTTCAACCTCAAGGCTTTTCCAGTCAATTCATACATTTCATTATCTCATATTTACATTTCTTAAAGTTGTGAATTGTGATTTTCTCACAGAAAGATTGGCTTGAATTTAAGTAATATTTACCAACTAGGGTTGCAACTTAAAATCATTTTTCAAAGATATTCAGTTACAGCTAGATAAAAACAACACAATCATATTTTAAAATGAGTTTGAGAGACCTAAACCAAACTCTTTAGCTTTAAATTATGTTTGACAATTAATCGTTTATAAAAATAGTTCCTGATTATATTTCAGTTTTCACTATTTTTTATTCGGAAATCTGATCTTTTTAGCACTAGAAACTATATAGAGCTGAAATAGTAGAAGACTAATCATTTGACAGCAAATATTCAGTCATGGTAATCATGGTAAATAACACTGTCTTGTCAATAACCAGTTGTGTCTTATTGAAATAGTCAAAAAAGCCATTAATTGTCTTTCTAATGATGTTGGCCTTTTTGTTTTAGATAAATTGCACACAAACTTTTTCAAGTATCAACATTGTTGCTGATTAATCATTTGGTAATTGACTTGCGCTCAACTCCAGACATTTCAAAGTCATACAGCTCAAAACAAGAGTGTGTGTGTGTGTGTGTGGGGGGGGGGACCCACTAACACAAGTGTTTCAGTGATGATGAGGCACGCCACAGTCGGATGATGTGGGCGGCTGGGAAGTCTTTGTTAACCCCACGGTGTCGGTGGTCAATCTCAGTGAGTCTCCACTACATTATCAAAAAACTCATTTATCTGGGAAACCAACCAGTGAGTCAAACTGACAAACACCCCCAACCACCGCAAGTCGCCATGGTGACTGATTTACTTAGCTGTGCAAACTGTCCTCCCACGCTCATCTGCACAATCAGTTACACGACATGAAAAACACACCAGTTCTTTGAAGAGGAAAACTAGTTAAGTCCATCTGACCGCTTTGTTTGCCTTGCAGTGTGATTCAGCTGCACAGAAACACTTAGACACAATCATTATCCTCCTCTTCTTCTTGTGGCTTCAATTATCTGTTTATCTGTAAATGTTCCACATGACAAAGCACGGCCGTCTGAAATTGCAATCGTACAGTGACAACAACTTTCTTATTAATGGAAAAAAGTGTTTTGGTGTCTCATGGACTTTAACAGATGGCTGAATCTACACCAACGTATTAAACTGCCATGTACAAAGGTTTGGTGGCGACTAGAAAGACTGTTTATTTATTCCTTGATCAGATCTGACATCAACCATCTCTCACAACTTTCCATTTTGTGAATTCTGGCTTTATTAGATTATGCTGAAAGAATCTTAATACCTTAATGATGCTGAGAGTGCTTAAACTAACAAGTGATTGACAAGAAAATAAACCTCACCATTTTTCATCACAGTGCTGACTCACAAAGAAAACACTGAGCTAGTGTTAGGATTTTGTTAAATATTTACCTTAAAATAATTAACTTTTCTGTATTAAATTCCTTCTGTTCTCACATTTAAGTAGGAAAAATACAATAATTTGACACGATGACTGATGCCCAGTGGCGTTATGACTCAGCTGAACTTCCTGATATGTGGCTGGTCAGAAATCAGTATTCACAGCACGGCAGCTCTTTGTCTCTTCTGTGAGTTTAAATACACTTTTCAAAAGAGAGCAAACACCACGTCATAAATGCTCCTCATTTCGACGGAAGCAACCTTATCACGAAGCAGCAGACACAGTCTCCATTCAACTCAACTCATCTTTAACTGTTAGTCTTTTGTATGAGCTGCAAATAGAAGGTTTGCTACCAGTATGATTGATAATGAAAATGCATAGCGTCTTCCTTTATCCAGTAGCCCATTATACTTGGCGCTGGCATTTAAGAACAGAAACAGAAAAGGTACCCCCACCCTGCAGACTGGAAGCTACCGATGATCAGCAGGTGACTCAGACAGGTGTAGTTACCTGTGTGTTGGGTGGTGGAGTAGGACAGGTAGAATCCTCGCCCGCTGTGGTGGGTCCCGCTCATGAACTGGACCGTGACCTGGTGGGTGGAGGACTCGATCAGCTGTCCGACCCTCAGACCCAGGCCGCAGTACTTCACTGTTAAACAGCACAGGATGAGAAACGAGCAGTAGATGACAACGAGGCACTGGTTAGTCATAAAAGCCAGCTTATGTTTACATATACAACAAAGAATCTAACAGAACATAATATATATGTACGGTTGGTTCAAGATGACAAGTTTCTGGGTTTTGCATTACCCTGTCTGGGTGCATATGGCAATATTGACCTGCTTCCTGTATTATCCTGATTATTACATGGTTACTTACTAAAGAAATCAGTAATTTGACATTATGTATCACACTTTGATTTTACCCATCAGAACGGAGCCGAGAGAGACAAGAGCTTTGTAAAAAGTGAGATTTTATCTGCAGAAATCAGATGAATTATTTTCCTCCGTATTTTTAAAAAGGGACATCTTTTTACGGCACCATACAAATTAAAATAAAAGCCAATTAAATTCTTCACCCACAGCTGGTTTTTAATAATATTTTTCTAATAGTTAGCTTAACTCTCATTAAAAGTGCCCCCTGCAGCACTTTGGCATGAGACCAATAGTGACTGTAGACCTAATCATGTGGCCGATGCCTGGCACAGCACAGCTTGGTTTCTGAATCATTATGTAAACAAATACTTTGGACATGGAAAGTATCATAGTGAAAGTGCAAAGAGGTGAAAGCAAAGATTTCCATTTCTCTTTTATCCAAAAATATTCCTGTTTCAACTTAAATAAATAAAAACATCCAGCTCTATGGTGTCTGAAAATGATGCAAGCACTTGTGAAACTCCATCAAAACCAATTTGGTTAACTCAGAAATGCATAGTCTGACTAATGCTGAAAATTAAATTATAAGAAATAAAACTCTTCCTGGAAGTCTGCAGCTTAACGCTCAGCTTTCTGTTAAGTATCTCTTAAGGCTGCCTCATATATCTTAAAAATAAATGTATTTGGGTCAATGGAAATTATGTTTACTCATCAGCCGTATGTAGTTCAGGTCTCGGTCACACACATTTGTTTCGTTCTTTATATTAGTATTTGCCGTTAAGACTCCTTTTGAGTCCTCCTTTGGTTTGGTTATCAACCTGTGTCCTTTTGGCTCATATGTTTGTTTCAGGCTGCCTGCCTGCCATTTTATTTCACCCGTTTGTAATAAAACCACTTATAACTTTGACCAATTCCACTCTGGTTTGTGTTGCTTCCCTTTGGTCCCCCTAGCCCAGTAGGGAACGTAATACAGTAAACACAAAAGTAATATGTCATCACCTCATTTCTTTTGTGCATTAAAACACATGCAGTAACGAAGATAATAAGATTCATGCAGGTTCGGAGATGTAATGTTTAAGGATGTGGTCAACCCTGACTATTTTACTATCCTAAAAGTACCTCTGATGATATTGTGACTAAAAGGACTGTCATGCTGGTTTTTTTAAATTGACTATGGCGAACAAAGTTTTCAGTTTGGTAAAAACTAGTGCCAAAATGTAAAGTTTCTATCCCATATCAGTTTGAGCCCACTGTAGTATCTGCTCGTGACTCTCACCAATCTCACTCCTCTCGAGCCCGATGCCATTGTAGAGTCGGAGGTAGTTGACCTGGCAGTCGCTGTCTTCTATGTCCAGCTCTGCGAAGTGGAAGTGGACCCTGCTGCCGTGCGGCACGCTGATCTCCCACTCACACACCGTGTTGTTGGGGTATGTCCCCGGGTAACCCAGAGAGGACAGAGTCCCACTGCTGGGGCCAAGTACAGTGGGGCCACAGCCATCACCTGCAGGACAACACAATGTATGAGGAAAAAGAGCAGGCTGCTAAAAAACTAACATAAGAAAAGCATACAAATATTTTAATTTAGGTACTCTTCATAAGCCTTTAATGCAATGGAAGTGAGGGTTTAAGTATAAGGTAAATCTATTCTTTATTTTCCTTAAGGTAAAGAAATAGCATGAAAAACACCAAAATCAAAACTGACAAGAAGCCTCGAGTCTGCTTGAGTGTGATATCTTATTCCCTTGTGTCATAGACCTACAGTGCAGACAAACAATATACACAATATCAATGGGCAACGCTGTCAAATGGGGAGACATATGCCCTCTTTATGATAAACAAGTTCTGTATTTGAATACAAACACGTGGAAATTAGATGTTTATAAAACCACAGATGAAATAGTTTCCTAAAAATGCAAAATGTCCTGATAAATGTAGAATAACACCAATCAATCATTCAATTAGTTGATAGTTTAACCTTTTATTGAAGACACTTCTTGAAAAAAAATGCCATAATTCTCTATTACTTAAATGTAAAGACTTGCATAGTGTCTTTAGGTGGTGATAGTCAAATAGGTCAAACTAAACAAGACATTTGAATACATCAGGATGTTTTCTGGACCAAACTAAAAAATTCATAAAGAATTTGAAGCCCCTGCCTAAATAATGTAATGTGTTGTAATTAGGTTGAGCAGGAAAGCTGGCTTTGATTTAAAAAGACAATAAATACTTGTGGCTGTGAAGCAGATAAGATAAACAGATCAAAAGGTAATAAGGAAAAGGAGGTATCTGACCTTGTGTTTATGACCTTAGACTCTTTAAGGATAGTTTGTTTTTGTGTCCTCTGAGCTGTCAGAGACATTGTGTGTGGGGTGTGGACACGCACTCAGTCACGCTTCATGGGGCTAAGTGGATGTCCTGTGGACCTGGGGTTATATAAGAGCCTCTCAGTGGACACTGTCCAGATGAACAAGACAAAAACAAAGCTGCTTCCCTCAACTCTGACTCACAAACACCGAACAACTGCATGGCATTCAGCAGGAGTTCAGATTACCTTCCTCAAATTTCCCCTCATGCTCAAAAACAAATCAGAGCACAACCTAAATCACTCCTCCTGCTTTATCATAAGACCTCATTAGATATTGATATCATCACACAATATACCACGAGATACTTTCTGTGAAAAACTAAATTCTAATTTATGTGAAATGTAGAGTTATGACCAACTGTGTCCACGTGTTTACAGTCTTACCCCCATTGCTACCCCACCCCCAATCTCGCACCACCTGAGGTCGGCTGTGGGCTCTGAAAAACTGCTAAATATGCGTATTTAGGAAGAAAGTAAAGTAACTCGAATATAATCAAACATATTAAGCTTTCCGTGTTTATAGTAGTTGATTTAGGGAAAACTGTGTATACAGTGGGCTACCTGGACCGAGAAACAAGGGTAAATTGCCAAATGTCTCCTAAAGACATCTTAAATCCAGACTCCATTAAGAAAACATGCCATTTTAAAAGGTAACTCGCTTATTAGGGAACTCAAATAAGATTGGGACTGTGACTTTAAACGTCTAACATATCAGTTATAGCCCTATATTAATTCAGCTAGCAACTGATCCACCAAGCAGCCGTTATTTCGTTACAATCTGCTTTTTTTTAAAGAACCGGTTAGCCTGGTTTCACTAAACCCGTCTCTCACCATGACGGGCGGCGGCAAGCAGTGCAAACTGAGCGGAACTCCACGTACACACGGCCATGTAAGGTAGCTTTTTAACTCTGGGGGACAATAACAATATAGCGTTTTCTTCAGCTCATCTCTAAAAACACTTAAACCCCCCCCCCCCCGTGTTCACACTTCGGAGAAGCAGCATGGCCGCAGCGGTGCTTTTACGCACTGGGTCCCGCCTGCAGTTGTCACCGCAGCTGTGAGGCACCAACCTTTCTGAGCTCGACAGTCCTCCGTGGTGAGGATGATGAGAATCGACAGGACGAGAACCCTGGCCCCTGTCGGTCCCCTGCCCACCATTACCGCTCTGCCCATAGCAGCCTGCAGTCTGAATGCATAATGCTCGCTTCTGGACCGGCTGCACCGCTTCAACCTGTGCCGAGAACGTGGAAAAAACAACTCAAAACTATTCCTCGAAAGCGAGTCGGTGTGTGTTTTCCTCCCGAGGGTGACTTTTGCTTGTCTTTTTTAACAATCCAGTGGTTAGCGACACTCTCACTGTGGAGGTAACTCCACACACGCATACACACATACACATCCAAGCTGTGGAGCTACTTCCTCCACCGAGGCTCCTCCTCCTGATCTGGGATACCCGAGTCCCCCAAGTGGTCTGAATGATCCCACATCCACTAACACCCCTCTGACATGGCTGGGAGAAGTATTCTGATATTTACTTCATTAAAAGTAATGAAAACACTCCATAACAAGTGCAAGTCCTGCGTTCAAAACAAAGATTGAAAGGCTTTATTATCATAAGCACAACAAGCCACAGCAGTTGTTGGATATCAAAATGGTAACTCACACACTTCTCAAACAATACAGTATACCTAAGACAAAAAATGTGAAATATATTAACAAAAGACCGTCACTTTCTAGGGCACTTAAAAGTACTTTTTTTAAAAAGTAGTAATTGTTTAATGGTAATTTTAACACCTGTGTTTTTAGCCTACTATGTCATGGCATATGTTGCATCTTAAATCATGAAGCAGTATTTCAATGTTGTAAGTGGCCCAAGTGTTGCTGGGTTGCCAAAAAGGTTCAATATTAGATACAAATGTAATAAATAAATGAAAGAGAAAAAAATCTATAATGTAATTTGTTTTTGTTTTTTACCCAAGTCTTTGTTTATCATTGAAGACAAACAGGACCGAGCTAGTTCCAGTTTGTGATGAATGCAAAGGAGTAAAGGTAAAACTCTATTTTTTTCTACATTTCCCCCTGTTAACGTAGACGAGTAATGTATGCACGCGTTATAAGATTTAATAACTTTATAAGATTTAAAAACAATTCTTGAATAAACATTCATTCATACTTTCTGTCTCTGATGAATAACAAAGCAATTATCAACCTAACCATTGTTGTTGATTATTCACTGGGACTTATGTAATGACTCCTGTGTTCGTGGAACTCCGCTGTATTATAAACATATGTGTGAGCACTTATTGTCCCACCCTCTCTTCTATTCCTTTAATGTGTTTTCCTTTCAGCTGCACACCCAAATCTGTCACGAGAGAATCCACAAATACTGGGATGTTAAATTCATACTTATACTGTACAATACTGGAGTTATTTAAATAAGAATGTGCATAAATAAGTTTGTCTGAGTAATGCCTTTGTGAAACAACAAAGGCTGAGCAACATATTCCTGAACAGTGAAGCAGTACATTCATGTGAAGACACTTATTATTGTTCTGCAGAACACCCCTGACTTAACAACGAGCTTTAACTGCCAAGAGTAACCAATAGTAACATGTAGCAACAAACACAGTTTTTAGCCTGTAGTCTGTGAGTAATATATCGGATGTGTGTGTGTGTGTGTGTGTGTGTGTGTGTGTGTGTGTGTGTGTGTGTGTGTGTGTGTGTGTGTGTGTGTGTGTGTGTGTGTGTGTGTGTGTGTGTGTGTGTGTGTGTGTGTGGTGTGTGTGTGTGTGTGTGTGTGTGTGTGTGTGTGTGTGTGTGTGTGTGTGTGTGTGTGTGTGTGTGTGTGTGTGTGTGTGTGTGTGTGTGTGTGTTTCTAAATCTCTGTGAGCTGACTGTAGGCAGATGTCCATGAGGGTGTTAGAAAGTGTAATGTTCAGAGATGCAGCCAAACAGGCACTCATGCTGAAATGATCCACTCCAACAGTCTCTCCCATACACACCCTTTGGCTGTTGTTACATCCCCTATCTGTATTTGTATGACACATTTGCACAAGGGCACAAGGGGAACTCCAATATATTCACAGCGGCAGGCTTTTCCAGGTGCCCTCCCCCTGAGGGGCATTCTTACAAGTTCCCATAAAAGTCAGATATAGATAACATACTATTATGTAGGTTTGGAAAAATATATATGAAACATGTAAAATCTAATGGAATCCAGTGGAATATCCCTAAAGCGAGTTGTAGATTTCGAAAGATAGTTTGTGCTTTGTTGACATTTGCTTGCTTCCTCATTGTTTGAGTTTCCAAAGATGCCAATGTTGTATTTGTAAACAACAAAATGTGCATTTACTTTTCACTTGTACCTGTTTTTAAAAAGTGGTGACAAACTGGGCTTGCACATTATGATTGAATTCAATTCAATTCAAAACCTTTATTTATACAGATAAAACCCATTGAGATCATAGACCTCTTTTACAATGGTGACCTGCTTCAATTAGTTCCAAACATTAATACAAACATGACAGAAAACAAAGGACATTATATAATACTACAGTTTGTATACTAGTAGCATTTACAGACACCAATATTTTCTGATTGTATAGCGTCTATCCTAGCTTTAAAAACATGAAATGGAATCAAACTGCTTAGCTTCCATTCCTTTTGTAGACTGTTCCATGCTAGCGGCGCTGCGCATCTAAAAGCTGTATTTCCTAATACAGTCCTAGCAGTTGGCACATGTAATACAACCACAGCTTTAGATCTCAGGCAGTAGCCATTTACAAACGCTGTGAGATCAGGGAACAGATGTAAGACGGAAGTTTCCCTAACATTGCTTTATAAATAAAAAGATACCAGTGATTTAGCCGAAGGTGACAATAGACAGAAATGGAGGGTTATTTCAGTATAAGAGAAGTATTTCACCATTATATTTGTATAAGCATTATGCTTGAACTATTTGTATTCAATACCTGAACAGTCTATTGCTTTTCAATTCAAGAGCGCCACATAAATGATACTTTCACGTATAATGGTCATTATCATATGTTCAGCCCTTGAGGTTTTGCATGTATAAAGACTCATCTTTGTTTTGAAACTGGGGATTTCTAAACTGGTTTATTTTATGATACTGGCAAAAATAATAAACAGTGGTTGTCATTATACAGACTGTGATATACTGTCACTGTGAGGACCTCGGCTGGAAAGCATATATTCTGTAAGAAAGGACCTCAATTAGAAACTAGATTGTGCCACTCAGTGGTCACAGAGTATTATAACATGCTGGCAACAGATGGATGTTTTGCTGTTGTTTGTGGAAGGATCTAATACTCCCTCATTGTCTAGTGAGATATTCCTTTATTTAAAAAGTATTCCCCGTACCACAGTCTTATCTGAAAAGAGTGGTACTCATAATTCATGCTCACAGCTTGACACCGCACTGTGTGTGAGTTTGATAGTGACAGTTAGTTGAGTACTGATATATTTTCTTTCTCTCATTTCCCATGGGAGATGATTTGATAAAGACTTGGAACGGTCTTTTGGAGAAAGAGTCAATTAGTGAGAGTTTAGTCATCACATGCCTGGGTCAAGTCTGTACTTGCTTTCCCATATCAACTCAGTGTACAATGCAAGAAACAAAAGGCACAACCAAAGCGCCCTGCACTGTAGGGTGAAATGACTGCAATGGCCATTTTGATACCAACAGTTATTATTAAAGGGGCCATATTATTTCTTTTGTGGTTTCCTTTTCCTATAGTGTGTTATATAGGGTTTTGTGCATGTAAATCTGCAAAGGCTAAAATCCCAAAGTTTCTCAACCACACTTTCCCCCCTGCCTGAAACGCCTCTAGTGGACTCCTTTGTTTACTTCTGTAACATAGTGACAACAGTATGTAACACTTTAGCTTCTATTGCCTAGTGCTCCAACTCATTGTACGTGAGGGGCGGGACATCTCTGAGCAGTTGACCAATCACAACATGGCTTCCTCTTTAAAAGGGAATTAAATACTATCATGTACAGGAGTGAGCCATTAATACTGCTGAATAGAAATAGCATTGTTACAGTATACCAACCCCATGAAGACTGTCCATGTGCATTAATAGCAGATCATGAGTTATGTATTCATCATGTTTACAATACTCAAAACAATTCTTTGTATTCGTAGTTTTAATACTTCAAGTATTGTTCTGCACACCCCTATACAATGCATTTTATAGATATTATATCACAGGAGTATTCACTTCCCTCTCGTATTTGTTGGACTCTTCATTTATTAAACTTGTCTTTTTGAAAGTAAATCAATGTTGCTCTTTGATTTGTGCTAAGACCATTTAACTCAAATGTATTCTGACTGGAAAACAAACCCTTTTATGAGCTGCAAATAGAACCGTTAAAGAGTCAATCTCTTGTTTGGTCATAGGTTCGCTCGTAATGACTACATTTGAAGGCCATAAACAAAAGATCAAAGGGCACAAGGTTATAGAAGTTTATTGATCTGCTGTTGAGGGAAATTAATGGAATTTCCTGCAAATGTTTGAAGTCTCAGCATGTAGCTGCTCTTGACCAGTCAGCTTGAGAAGGTCAACAGATGCAGGGGAAACCTGATTGGTATTCTGGGGCTCTCGGTTGTAAAGAGATGATCGGACTTTAAAGAATTCAGCCAAGGTCCTGACAGTAACCACAGGTCAACTGTTTCCATGGTGATCCAGTCTGGGGGGGCTCTGACCGCAGGACTTTAGCTGGTTTGATCCAAATAAGTGTCCTCAAAATGGTACTTCCAGGAAATGCAATATATGACAAAATTGGTTATAGACTGGACTATAGGGATATATTATGTTAAATGTATTGCTATGAGATTGAATATCGTCTTGTAGGTATTTTTACAGATAATCTGTTCTGTTACTGGGAGTAAAAATGTTGCACTAAATATTATCTCCACTGGGAGTCAGTATGGGGCACAGATAAGTGCAAAACAGTCACCTGTCAATTCATCTTTATTTACTCCAAGCTTTCTATTTTCACACCAGAAATATCCCCAAATTGGGGAAAACAACTTAAGCTTGTGAGTGAGATGCTCTTTTAGAAAATGTCCCAAAGCTTCTGTCTCATAGATTAAAGCCCAAAGTGACAGTGTGTCCCTCCAGTGGCAGCAGGTTGAGGAGAACAACTCTACAGACATGTTTGTTAGCTATTTAATAAGTTAATTTGAAAACCTTTCAGATTTACAGGTCAGGTTAAGAGCCTTTATAGTGAAAATGTGATAAATGACTAGTTTGAATTAGATTGTGTGATTGTAGCTTTGAGATTATGGTGGTTGTTTTAGAGTTGTTGCTTAAGGGAGATTCCTACTTCTGCATAGGTAACAACAAATAAATTATAACACCCTTTGTTGCTCAAGAAGAAGCTGTCTAATATGTGATCAATTGCTC